CCAAACTGGTCCCCCCTGGGGCTGCAGAGCCGGCTGCTCCTGTCGCTGCTGCGGGCTCTGTTGCTGCTTCTCCCCAGCGCTCACCCCATCGCCCGGGGAGGCTGGTGCAGGGGGAGGATGGGGTGGGGGTGCATCCTTGCAGTGCTGGGAGGGTTTTGGCTGAGCTAACTTGCCGTGCTTTCTCCCTGGCCCAGGGATCGAAGCCACCGACCTGTCCAGCCTGCTGGAGCAGTTTGAGAAGTCTGAAGGTGCGTTTATGGGGTGCTGCGCTGTCCCCCATGGGGCTCCCTCCGTGCCATGCCAGCCTCCCTGGGCTGCCCGTGCTCCCTGCAGTGGGGGGGCTGGGATGCTGCCTGTGGGCTGGTGTAACCCTGCCTGGGTGCTTTGTCCTGGGCGTGCCTCTGCCCCCATCTCTTTCCTAGCTTGTGAAAGCAGCTGGGGGTCCCTGGGGAAGCCGAGGGAGTGGTGAAGAGCCTGGGAAGGAAAGGGGACCAGCAGCAGCTCTCTGCAAGGAGCTGGGCTGGGGTACCATGAAACCTCTCCCTGGCTGTGCCCGGGATGCTCTGTGTGTGTCCCCCCCGTACGCAGGGTCTGTCCACTGCCCTCCAGCCCCAGCCTCTCGCCACCCTCACCTGACCGCTCTCTTTTCAGCCAAGAAGGAGGAGGCTCCCGTGCAGCCCCCCGAGGACAAGCGGCCAGCGGGGAGCTCTGGGTGAGTACCAAGACCTACGCAGCTGGTGCTCCAGTGTGGAGCCCGGCAGAGGGCTGAGCTCTGCCTTCAGCAGGGGCATGGGGCAGCTGTTGGTTCTGGCAGGGTCCAAACTGTGCCAGGGGCTGCATCCACCGGCCCAGGAGGAACTGAGCTCCTCGCTGGGCTGGGAGCCAGAGCTGGCACTGAGGGGGGAAAATCAGGGGAAGCAGCGATGGGCATGACCGGGCTGTGCAAGCTCCATCCTTGCAGCTCTCTCGGATCCTCTGTTCTCCCTGTCTGGGGAAGGGGGCAGCTCGGGCAGGTGCCCCAGGAATGAGGGCTGTGGCCACTGTGTTTAACAAAGCTCCTTTCCCCTTCTCAGGCCTGAGACCCAGCAGGACAGGAAGCCCCCAGACAGCCTGCAGGCCTCTGAGCTGGCCAACGTGGCAGGTAATGCCTGGGGTGAGGCGAGGAGCCCGCTGTGTCCGGGCAGGGGCTGTTGTAGCGCTGGGGGAGACCCCGGGGCTTGAGGGGAGGTGGGCCAGGAGGGAGCCCCAGCTGGGCGGGTTGCAGCAAGGGGCTGCTTTTGAAAGCCCTCCGATGCTCTTGC